AGGAGTGAGCCACCATGCCCAGCCTGAATAATTCTTTAAATGCACTGAAGATGCTTACTAAAGAAAAAATACTTCATAGAGTAAAAAATGATTATATAATGTGTAGTCACTCCCTATTTCCATTTTTACAAGCAAACACTTTAGGAAGATGGTTATTGAAATAAGGCAGAATAGTAGGAAGTTCTGCAGAGATTTTAGAAACTATGTCATGGCAGGTAATTATGTGGACAATTTTTGTCCAGTTAATCAAATAATGAATTCATGGATAACAACAATATGAGCATTAGGGTGTTTAAATATCTAGGATGTAGCAGTTTTTCTGATTTCTTAGGAACAGGCAAAATGGCATAAGTTCATGAGTGAGTAACCAGAATGGTAAAGGGACTTCAAAGCCTGCCATTAAAAAAAAAGAATGAGGATATTCTGCTGCTAATGAGAGGAACTAGGATGAAGGGGACATAATTTCATCTTCCAACATTTACTGAGTTGTCACATGTGCAAGGGATACTAGCTGTTCTACATTGCTCCAAAGGATCAATATGACCAATAGGCAGTGGTCACAGTGAACCAATGTGGAGTTATTACAAGAGCTCTAAGAGTCAATGCTGCCCCAACAGGATAGGTACTGCCTGTGGGGTTCTGGGTAATTGATGACAACAGAGGTAATAGAGCAGAGTAGACATAAATGCCTAATGGGGCGAGCATGAGGGGAGTCTGTAGGGAAGGAAGGAGAGGAACGGGACACATGCCATGTCACATTTCTGGCCCTTGCTAACCATGAAAATCTAAGATTCTGCCAAACATCATCATAAAGCTGTAGGTGAAAATTCTCTAAGAGTATGGTTACCAAAGTGCTGTGCTATTTACAATGACCCTTCCAATCTAATCAGGGAAAATACATTGAAAGAGGAATAGTCAAGTAAATAAAAATAACCAAGGACTTACCATCATACTTTGCTAAGACTGCCTGAACATCAGCATATGCTTGTAGTTCCAGAAGGGCTTCTAAAAGGTTCTCGTGGATATTGAACATGCTCAGAAGAGGGAACTCCTTCATTAACTAGGACAGAAGAAACCAAGGAATAGTTAGTATATATTTCTTATCCTTTTATTGTATATGTAATGTTTTGATATTTATGCACAATAAAAGATTACTAGAGTTAAGCATCTTAAGAAAAAAGCATTTTTTTTTTTTTTTTTGAGATGGAGTCTCACTCTGTCGCCCAGGCTGGAGTGCAGTGGGGTGATCTCAGCTCACTGCAACCTCCATCTCCCAGGTTCAAGTGATTCTCCTGTCTCAGCCTTCTGAGTAGCTGGGACTATAGGAGTGTGCCACCACGCCCGGCTAATTTTTTGTATTTTTAGTAGAGATGTTGTTTCACCATGTTAACTTGGATGGTCCCAATCTTCTGACCTCGTGATCTGCCCACCTAGGACTCCCAAAGTGCTGGGATTACAGTATTTCTTATTTTTGAAGTATCATACTGAATTGTATTTATATAAAAGTATAATTCAGTTCTTAAAAGTATAATTAATATTGGGCTATAAGCGTTCATATCAATTATTATTTTGTAAATCATTAAATGCTTCTTGTTTTTCTGGTAAAGTGGGATAAGATTCAAAGACAGAGGTTTTCATAAAAGTTGAAGAAAATGCTCAATAAAGATAAAATGCCATGGAGAAACCAAACAAGGTAAAGGGTGAAAAATGTCTCATAGGCATTACCAGTTAGGTCACTGGTAACTCTGCAAACGTTTGGATGGCAACATTTGGATGGAAGGCAGACAACAGAAGGGTAAAGAAGGAGGCACTACTCTTTCAAGCAGCCTAGTGGCAAAGTTAAGGAGAAACGGTAGAAAAATAGCTAGCAAGTGACATAGGCTAAAAGAAAATTTGTAGGTAGTGATGGGGGTGGTAATAAAGATGGAAGTTTATGAGTTCCTGCCTGATGGCCCCCGTAAAACGGGCCAAGATCATCTTCTGAGACTAACAGGATAGGTGGCAGGGAAGAAGTTTAAAGATGGGGTGAAAGTGAAAAATAGCCACACAGGGGAGAACTGCTCAGGAGGAAAAAAAAAGAAAGGATTGCTATGCTGTCTTGAGGGCCAAACAAACTAGAGGCTACGATTTATAGAAGTGTAATTCCCACGGTTGTCAAGTTTTACTTAGCAGTGGTCAGCAGCCCAGGTACAGTAGCAAGATGTCAAATGATTAGGTTGAGGCTGGGTAAATTGAATTAGGTTCAAAAAAATCAGGGAGCAAGAGACCGGACTATGTCAGTGAACAAATGATTAAAGGAATGGTCCAAGGGTTTTAGACTGAATGAGGACGAAGAGAGGCCCAAAGAAAGTCAAAATATATAATATTGAACTTCACTGGGAAGCAAACAGAAAGAAGACAGACCAAGAATTTCAGAGTAAAATTTTTATCTTCAAGAAAGGTAAAATCTGGCCAGGCATGGTGACTCATGCCTATAATTCCAGCACTTTGGGAGGCCGAGGCAGGTGGATCACCTGAGGTCAGGAGTTTGAGACCAGCCTGGCAAACATGGCAAAACCCCATCTCTACTAAAAATACAAAACTTAGCCAGGTGTGGTGACACAGCTACTCGAGAGGCCGAGACAGGAGAATTACTTGAACCCGGGAGGTGGAGGTTGCAGAGAGCTGAGATCGTGCCACTGCACTCCAGTCTGGGTGACAGAGTGAGACTCTGTCTCAAAAAAGAAAGAAGAAAAGAAAGAAAGAAAGAAAGGAAAGAAAGGAAAGAAAGGAAAGAAAGAAAGAAGGAAGGAAGGAAGGAAGGAAGGAAGGAAGGAAGGAAGGAAGGAAGGAAGGAGGGAAGGAAGGAAGGAAGGAAGGGAGAAAGAAAAGTGAAATCTTATATTAAAAGAAAGGTAACCAGGTTCTTTACAGAGCAAAATCACAGATATATTCTCTTCTAATCCTCTACATGGATAACTGCTATCTATTATAACATAATAACCTCTAAAATGTGATAACTGTTTTTGTGTCAACATACTCAAAGTAATTATGCTGAGAGAAATAATATTCAAAAATAGGCTAATTTACTGCTAAGAAAAAAAAAATCAGTGAATACACTGCATTAACTATCCAATTCTTCCTCCATAAGGAACATTTACCATATTGTTTTGTTTTTTAAAGCCAAGAATCATTTACCATACCTTTAAAAATAATTTTCTAAAGGACTATAAATCATTCTATTATAAAGACACACGCACACATTATGTTTATTGTGGCACTGTTCACAATAGCAAAGACTTGGAACCAACCCAAATGCCCATCAATGATAGACTGGATAAAGAAAATGTGGTGCATATACACCATGGAATACTATGCAGACATAAAAAACGATGAGTTAGGGTCCTTTGTAGGGACATGGATGAACCTGGAAACCATCATTCTCAGTAAACTGACAGGAGAGCAGAAGATCAAACACCGCATGTTCTCACTCATAGGCGGGTGTTGAACAATGAGAACACATGGACACAGGGAGGGGAGCACTACACACTGGGGTCAGTTGGGGGGAAA